GCCACCCGGGCGGCGCCTTCGGCCTGGGCCTCCGCCATCCCGCTGAGCCACAGCAGGGCGCCCCCTGCGCGAAGGCAGCAATCGGGCATGGCGGGCACCACGGGGCGGGGGCGTGGGGGGCGCCCTGCGTCCGGCCCACCTGCCCATCCCTCACCGAGCCTAGTGACCAGGTCGCGCAGGTCCGGAGGCCCCGCGCCGTCCATGCATAGCAGGGCCTCTTCCACCTCCAGGGAGTGACCCACGCTGCGGCCCAGGGGCTTGTCCATGGCCGTCAGGGCAGCTGCCACCCGCAGCCCCAGGCCTGCCCCCACGCCAACCTGTGAGAGGGGCAGTGTGGACCCTGCCGGGGTGGAGGTGCCTTGCTGCGGGGGTGTGGGAGGGGCCTCCCCAGGCCGTGTAGCGGCCTTGGGGGTCACTAGGTGGGGCTTGAGGGTGCCAGCCGCCCGGTGGGGGCACACAGATGTGGCTCCACGGCTCACCAGCGCTTCTGCCAGCTCCCGGGCCTGGGCCCGGCTGGGGAACACGGCCGCCTCTCCGAACTTGACGTCCACCACCAGCGCCGAGAGTCCCTCCACGGCCTTCTTACTGAGGATGGAGGCTGTGGGGGGGCAGGGGGGCTTCCAGGGCTCGGCAGGGGGCTGGCAGCCCAGTGGCGAGTGGCCGAGACCCTAACACTGAGGTCGAGGTGGCCTGCGGTAGAGGCCCTGCCTGGGGGCGGGTCACCTGTGATGAGGGGCAGGCTGTCCACCGTGGCCGTCACGTCCCGGGCTGCGTACAGGGCCCCGTCCGCAGGGACCAGCCTCTGGCTCTGACCCACGATGCAGCAGCCGACATGCTCCAGCAGCCCACGCATCTGGTGGCCGGGGCATCGTGACCCTCAGGCGCCTCTGGCCGCTGACCCCGGCCATCCCGGGCAGGGGCTGGCCCCACACGTGGGCTGTGTGCAGAGCCCTGACCGCTGTCCCGCCCGCCCGTGTCCTGTGACCCATTAATGATTGATCAGTGATCGTGGCTGGCCAAGCCTCAGGAGCGGCTCGAGTGGGCCCCCGGCCAGCAGTGCCAGTGACTCAGGAATGACCCGGGTCGACTGACCCTTCCCACATTTGGCCGCTGCGTCTCTGTCACCCACCCAGTGGCCAGTGTCTACCTGCTCTGGGCTCTGGATGACTGTGAACCCAGGAATGGACTCCAGCTTGTCCAAGGTGCCCCCTGTGTGTCCCAGGCCTCGTCCACTGATCATTGGCACCTGCTGGACGGGATACTGAGGCCACCCCAACCCCCGGCCCTCTGGGGCAGGTGTGGACCCCCCTGCGGCGAATGCAGCTGGGGGGGGGGGCGGGGAAGAAGCTGGCCTGGCCTGGGTGTGGTCGGTGGGTGCATCTGGGGGCCTGGGGACACTCAGCCCGTGGAATCCGTGTGGGCGACGGACAGGGGACCTGGGTCAGCTGGCCGTGGCGCTGGGGCTCTGGTGGCCGGGCAGGGGTGGCCAGGGTGGCCGGGCCCTTGGAGCGCTGACCTTGCAGCCACAGGCAGCCAGGGCCGGTGCCAGGACGAGGCTGACCTTGTCACCCACGCCCCCCGTGGAGTGTTTGTCCACGAGCTGCTGGCGCCACGCCTCGGGCCACTCCAGCTGCTGCCCGGACCGGGCCAGGGCCCGGGTGAGCGCCGCCGTCTCGTCCAGGTCCATGCCGCGCAGCCGGATGGCCATGAGCATGGCCCCTAGGTGCGGGACGGCGGTGTCGTCGGCGGCCAGGGGTGGCCCCAAGGAGGCTCCGCGGGGCGGGGGCGGGGCAGCGGCGGGCCCACCCTGCACGCACCGATCTGCGTGCCCTGGGCGCTCCCGTCCACCACGGCGCGCACGAACCCCTGGATGTGCCCCTCGCTCAGGCGCTGCCCGTCCCGCTTGCGGCCGATGAGCTCGGGGAGCGGCGTAGGGCCTGGGGGCGCCTCCTGGCTCCCCAGCCCCGCGAGGTCACCTGGCGCCCAGGCGGCGGCCATGGCTCCGGTCCTGCGGGACCAAGTCGCCTGCAGCCCAGAGCCAGCCACTGGGCTCCCCACCACCCAGAGCAAAGAGGGGTGGACACAGCTGCTGGAAGCTTCTTTGGGGCCTGAGTCAG